TAGGGCTTCTCAGTCTGACTCTTGTACTTATACCTGCCCCAGAAACCTATCCTCACCTGTCAGGATAGTAGCCCCAGTGCAGAAGAACCTGCTTATCCCTCTTCATGACTGGTCGTACCCATTCCTCTGGGGATAGAGACAGAGCAGGGAGAGATATAAGCTAAAGGGGTACAAAAAAAAAAATAACTCTGTATACAATTCCTGTTGCAGTAGGGGACCTGGAAATAGGAACATAAGGTGCTAGGAGGATTCAGGGTTGAAAGAAGAGAGGAGCCCAGTACCATACGGGATCTGAGCAGTCCTCCACCTCCTAGTCCAAGCCATTCACTGCAGTGGCCACAAAAAGCCAGGTCTCACCTTCTTCCAGGTTTCCTGGGACAGGATAGACAACATGGGAGGCATTGTTCTTATCCTCAGTAACCGTTCCCTGGACAGCACAAGGAAAAGCAGATAAATATGGTCCCCTCCACATTACTCATGGGTGTAAGTAAACCAAAGGAAGATTTAAGCACAGATCTGCCTTCCCAATTATATTGTGCTCAGAATGATATTAGAGTCCATTTGCCTTCTCTAAGCACACACCAGCTAAGTGGCATGGGAAACAGCTGGGATTGTGTTAATAATGGAGAAAAGTCAAAGAATTAAAAATTGCTACAAATAATCCCTCTGAATAGATAATCTACACACGGGAAATGTAAAGTTGAATATATGTTTCTAGCAATGACATCTTCTTATTCTAGAGTTTCAAAGAGTAAAGATTTCATTTCTATGAAATCAGGAAATCTCTAGCTCAGTGGAGATGCTTTTCCCCCAAGGGCCAAGGCAGTCTCCAGTGATCTAGTGATCCAAACCTGTCAAGACTGGGAAATGGGAGGAGCAAGACAGAGAAAAAGTGGCTCAAGGCTTCAAATCTCGTCATTTTTCAAGTAGGTAGAGCCACCTGTGCAGTAGGAAACATGGCACCTCAGGGATGCTTGCTAAATGAAAAACATCGGCAAAAGAGTAATGTAGTTTCCAAAAGCTCTCCTGACCCACCCACTCACTTGGTGTCTCTTGATAATGTCCTTTAATTTCCCCAGCAGTTTGGGTTCAATTTCTGGGCACAGAAAAATGTTTGGTCGAGACAGGCAATTATTCTGTGGAGAAAAGAAACAGATGGAATGAAATTATGGATGGGTGTTTTAGATTCCTATTGAGGGAAGGGAGATGGATAGTTCTTGACTATTACCTGCACCAAGGACTTCTCAATGGTCATGAACATTTCCACGTTGCGGTCCATGCGTGATGGATTCTGGAAGTCGTAACGCCGCCTTGTAAAGAGGCGATAATCTAATGAGTGGTAGAGCAAGTCTGGGGATGAGGTTAGGGTACGTGACTTTTTAACATGGGAAACTGGGAGGCAATTCCACTCACAGTTATTGCCAAAAATCGCCTGGGACCTGGGGTTCACTGATTTCAACTCACTTTGTACTTAGTCCAAAAGGACAAAGAAAAGCTTGTGAGGCCAACCTAAGAATCTCTTTTCCTCTACAATACATACACTGATGCACACATATACTCACTCTTGGACACTTATTTTGGCTCTGACTCTGAGCCATTTTTCTGACTTAGCAAGTTAGGCCTACTGATCTAGCTAAGTAAGAGACTCATAAGATTGTTTACCTATGCCCTCCTACCCCAGAAAGATCCCAAGGAATCAGAGGAGGAAATTCTCTCTAAATTAAATGTAAGAAGAATAGAGAGAGAGCATCTCACCATCCCTGGTCACTCTTGAATTTGTAGGCAGCTGCAAGTATGTGGCACAGGGAGCCTCCTGCTTTGAAATCTAGGAAACATTTGATCTACAAAATTGAGACAGGGAAGAAGTATGTGAGAGTTACATCCTAAATTCTCTTATTACTTAACAATCCTTTCACAAAATCCCATGCTGAACTAATCTCCCTCTCAAAGCTGGAATTCTTTAACCTCTGTGCCACTGTAACGTGTAGCCTGAAGAGGGGAGAGAAAGAAACGAACATTCACAAAGCCCCACCTTGTGCCAAGTACTTAACTGGGTTACCTCACTGACCAACACAGAAACCCTACAATGTAGGTATATTAATCCCACCTAGAAATGAAGGAACCTCAAGATTCAAATGGTTTAAATGATTTGCCCAAGATCATGGAGACACCAAGTGGCAGAGCCGGGATTCAAACACAAGCCTGTGCAAATCCAAATCTCATACCCTTTTAATCATGCCATGAAAGTTTCATGCACTGAGCTCTGACACTCTGAGATAATCTGTTGCACAAAGTATTACTAAAACAAAGGGAATGGGGACTAGGCCATGGTAGTAATGCCCTGACCAGGGATAGGGATGGTAAAAACTTACTCAAATTATCGAAAATTATGAAATTTACAAAACAAAAAACAAAAACACCCTCTCTAGTTTGGAGTATTCTTCCCTTGCTTTTGCACTCACCGGCAGTTTAGTGAGAGGTGCATTGCTGACATGTTTGCCAAAAACTTCTTCCTGAAATTGTAGCAACTGTACAACCAGGCTAGACAAGGATTTGTTGGTGGGTGGTTCAGCTTGAATATACTGGGGAAAGAAAGGGAAAGAAAAGTAGACCCCAGATAAATTGTCCACTATTTTTCTTATTTCTTCCCTGGGAGCTCTGGGAGCATCTGTAGCAGAGAAAATTATGTCTTCTTCCCCTACATGTCTAGTTTTTATAAAGAAAATGGCAGAAGGGAGGCCCTCTATGTCCCTCACCAGGAAGTTCCAATTCTGCTGCCCCCAGCCCAAGTTGCCAGTGTTGGGTGCTGAGAACAAGAGGGCTTCCTAATTTTCCTCAGCTACACCCTGGAATTAAGAGTTGCAGGACCCTGTTCTCTAGCCAACGGCACTGATGGTTGTAAAATTCTGAAGGTTCTTTGAGTTCAGGCCATGGAAGCAATACCTTTGGGGCTCTAAGCAAGACAATGGTGTATATCTTGGGGGTAACCTTGTGGAAGGCCAAGATTTCTCCTACAATGTGGCCTAATAAGAAAGGTGCAAGGACCTCATTTGCAAGGGCAAACAGACTGAGAGTGAGTCTGGGCAAACAGAGTGAACTCGTGCATTCTGCTTCTCCTAGGAGCAGGGCACAAACGTCTTTGCAGGCCCTCCTAGATGGCAAGGGCCAGCTACTATCTAGCCTGGTGGGGAAGAGCAAGACAACATCTGTCTTTTTTGAGGAAACCTTATCTGAGACAAGTAACCCTGGGCCTTCTTAAACATTTCCATATTATGCTACCTAGCATCCTAGCCTTCTGTTCTAATTTAAAATTGAGCCAGAAAGCTACTTTCTCTTTACCTTTTGACCCCTGTTTCCTCAACCCTAATCACAGAGTGCTCCTCTCAGTGGGAGGTGTAAAGAGATCTTGAAGGAAAAGATAAAGAACAAAGAGCCAAGAGCTTGAAAGCTGAACCAGGTCACAGGCTGTCAATCCCCCCAGGGCCAGAGACTAAGCCCCTAGACTGATCTCCCTTCCAAGGGGTCAAAGGTAGAAGCCTGAGAACCAGAGCCCTATGCAGGGGTACATACAAGTCACAAACCCAGCAGCTGTTTGTCAGAACTCTGACATCCACAGAGACCTCCAAGAGCAGGGACAGGCTCATAACCAGGAACAGAGGGGGCGTTCTCCTAAACTACTTAATATACTTCTGACAGGCTGGGCAGGAAGAACTGGGGAACTGAAGGAAAGCCAGAAAGAGAACCCCTCTCTGGTGGTAGTGAGAAAGGAGAGAGGCAGACCATCTTCAGAGAAAAACCATATGTTTAGATGTTCCTTTCAACAAGACCTAAAGACAAAGACAACACTAGAAAGAGGTTCAGTAGAAAGGATAGGTAAGTAAGGCTTCTTCAACCCTTTGTTCACTACTTTATTATGTCCAGTTATGGGGTGGTGGGCTAGAGCAATAAGTGTCCTAGCCTCTGAACCCTAAACCTAAGGCAATTCAAGGCCAGATAGGGGGGTGACTTCCCTGTGAAGCTGAGGAATGGTTTAAGAAGAGGTCATTGTCAGAGAACTCCTATATCCGGGCTCCCAAAAGAGGTTTTCTTGCTTCTTGGATAAAGGTAGGGGACGAGCAGTAGAGACAGGTGATCTCAGGGTGGGGGCCTTTTTCAGGCTGATGGAGCAGCCAAGGGCCTATTTACTCTCCTGCTTTCATCATCTCTCTCTGAACGTACACAAAGCACCAAGGAGGCCTCAGCCCTGCTGGTACCTGGCTCCGTGGGGGGCTGTGGCGGGCACACTAGGGTTGGCGGCGGGGG